GAGCGGAGGAGCCCTGTGCACACTGAGCCAGGTCCTATCTCACGTCCCATCTATCCATACCAGTTAACAAACCCCTTCATCAAAGCACTGAGTGGAAGAGCCAAATCACCTCTCCTGTCCAAGCCTCTCTCCAGCTCTGAGCCCTCCACTCACAACCAGGGCGCCATGTTGTTCTGATTATGCGTGATTTAGCGATAAAAAATTTATCTTGCAACCCCCAAACACTCATATTTATTAAATTATTATATGCTTAGATATCTCCAATCCATGTATTAAATATTAAATATCTCCTGTTGTAGGCAAGAATAATTTGAGATAGACGTTGTAATATTTTCCCACACACAGTGGCGGCCTCTCTCCAATGAAAGGATGATATCTTTGCAAGGACATCTCCCCTAGGCCTGAGCCCAGGGGTGGGAATGGGAATCATAGGGTCAGTTGTCCAACCTCTGAGGAAAGGCCAGGGACCCTAAAACAGTCTGAAGTGTGGCATTTGGACTAGGGACCTGATGACAAAATGCATCCTGTGTCACAAATTCTGGCACATTCTGGGTAACCTGACTTTTCTAGAAGTGGGAAAGGAAGGTGGGGAAATAACAGTGGCTCACAGCCAGTGTGAACTGGCCTATGCCCTCCTCTTGGTGGTATCACAGAGTCACTACAGTCCCACACGAGGGATCCTTAAAAGAGGCCCGGTTAAGCCTCCTGGGGGATGTTTCCTGGCGCTGAGATGGCAGATGTCCGAGTTGGAAGGGACACTCTGACCCATGGCCTGGATTCATGGTTAGATTTACAGGCTCTGAGTGGTTGCAGCCCTCCAGGACATCTCAAGGCAGATGGGGAAAAGTCAGGTTATAACTCACTGCATCCTGCTCTTTTCTTACTCCTAGCCTGTCACTGTTCCCCAAAGGCACACGATTCCTGCAAGAGCCACTTGATGGATGGCTGAGATGGGAACCCCAGGTCACAGTGGAAATGGCATGACCCTAATGGTAAGGGTCATAGATACTCACATACCACATACCCAAGACTCATCTGGAGTGGGACCATCATCCTTTCCAGACATAAAGGATCAGCTGGCAGAGTCTGGCAGGGCCAGGATCAGGGTTTCAAGACAAAGAAAGCAGCTGCAGGACCCTAAGGAGTCTCCAAGACTTCAGCTCAGCCCTCCTGGGACCACCACACAAGCACTCTTAAAGCCGCAGCCAAGGTTCCACTGGATTTGTCCAAACTATCATGTCCTCAGCTTCCAGGTAGCCTCAGAACTGATGTCCTTGGCCCCAGAGTGTACTATGAAAGCTTAGCTTGCTGGGCATACTGGAGTCGAGGTTTCTAGGTCATGGGAAATGCTGACACCCACCAACAGCCTGACCTCAGTATGAAATCCTACCACCAACAAAGCCCAGGCTCCAGCTTCCGCCCCGGAAATCACTCTATAACTCTTCTCTTGCAAATCGCACCTCCAAGGCCTGCTTCAACTCTGCCTAATCTCTCTCAGGCTTAACCTCAGTCCTTGGTCTCTGAACATTTTGCCCAACTACTGGGGCCTTGGAGCCTTTAGGGCCTGGTTCATGCTTCAGCTAGGATTCCAGTTCTCACTGGCCTTTGTCAAGGCTGGGTCACCAACCTCAGTCCTTAAGACCAAGGAGCTTAAAGAGAAGAGCCCCCAGATGACCCTTCGGTCAGCATACAGTCTCCAAGAGAAAGGGAAATACAGGACCTAAAAACCTTCCAAACACCTGGAACCATGTGGCAGTTGAGGCGGACATACAAATGGCGGCTCAGTGCCCCAGCCAAGAGTCCATGGTCTTTGCAAGCCCAGGCATCCAATCCCAAGAACATCTGACCCAACAATACCACTCTCTCTACCTCCATCTTCTTTCCACCATCCAAAGGCTACGCTATCCCAAATCAAAGCAATCTTGTAGGCCTGGCCTAAGGAGGCAGCCTCGGCAACCCATCATCTTGGCCACCACCCCGCCTCCCGCCTTTGTGTTGTCAGAGCCTGATTGGGTGTGGCCGCCCATGGACCCTTCTGGATGCGTCTATGGTGTATTAAGAGCAACAGCAGCAAAGAGATTGCCCTTCTGAACAGCAAGGGACCCGAAGGGGGGAGGGCGTTCTTTGGAGCAGCTGGACTATGACCGGATGGAGGCAAAAGCCACACTTCTTCCCCGACGCCTTGCAGCTGGTTTCCTCCCCATATTAACAGGATGGTCAAGGGGGTAGGGTCTCTTCTACCCAAAGCTCTGGATGGGTACAGCCACCACTCCAATGGGCACCACAGGAGAACTAGGACTGCTAGGAAACAAACCCTGTCTGTCTAAAAACTCAACACAAAGAGTTCACTATCTGAGGAAGGATACCTTAGAACAGTCAGAGACATTGTCTGTCCGGGCTCAGAATCTGTCCAGCTTCATGCCATCACCCAGAGCTCCAGGCTAACAGGCGGTGCCCTTCCTGACCCTGTATCTCTAGAAACATATATCTGAAGGACACCTTCCCAGGCCACACTAAGGTTGGGTCCTCCCCTGCCCTGTGCTCCTGTCTTCAAGCACCCCCCCCTTCCAGTAGGCCTCGGATTGGGGGCCTGGGATATATGTTGGGCATACCAGTATTCAGTGCCAGAGTCAGATCATAGGCCTGGGAAAGGCTGCCTTTTCCCTTATTCCTCCATTTCTTAAGGGGTAAGATAGGAACAAGGGCATGTCTGTTCCTGGACGAGCATTGACTCCTCTCCCACCTCCAGGCTCTCTGCCTCTGGACTGGGAGTCTAGGTCCTTGAGTTTAGTCAATACCAGACACACACATAATAGGACACTAGGGGAAAGATGGGGTGAGAAGGGGTCATCCAACCCCTGACCTCTGACCTCCCTTACCACTCACTCTGTGGTGTCAGGTGGATTTCGGAGAGTCCTGATGGCCTGCTAGAGTCCAACACACACAGAGAGAGGCTCCTGATCCACTCCCTGCGCCTGTTGCCACAGACACTTTCCTGGGATCCTCTAATGCCGGAAGGGAGCAAGGGGCCACCTGTGTCCCCTCCTGCCACCAGTGTCTCCAGGAAAATCCAATCCCACCCTTCCCTACGGAACTGCTTCCCCAAGCCTCATTTTTAGAGATGTGACACCTCTGTGTGACCATAAAGAGCCTATGTGATTGTGATCAACCCTGCCTCCCTGAGGGTTCCCAGAGATATACACATCCTTGGAGCAGAGAACAAACCAGACACAGCTCACCGGCTCCCAAACTCTCCAGCCCTTGGCACATCCAATTACCTTAAAATCCCGATGCCCAGCTTCTGAGCACAAGCCACTGAACTCCCTCCACCCAGGGGCCCCCAGAGGGTGCACTTCCAGGTCCCAGCTTCCCTGACAATCCCCCTCCAGACCTTGCCTGCCCGAGGCATCCTCTGAGATGTTGGAAGTCCCTGGTCCTCCTCTCCCTTCCCCTTGCCCCTTGTTTGTCTATCTGGTCATCCTTGGCCAGGCTGGAGGTGGTAAGGAGTGAAAAGCAGAGCTAAGATATGGGTCAGGCTCGTCTCCTGGACCGGGAGTCAGGGACATCTCCTGGGGCTGTTCATCTCCCTCAAAGTGTAAGCTGGAAGAACCCAAGCTCTCTCCCTTAAACCAGGAAGGCTGCTGGGCTCTGGAGGGAACAAGACCGCAAATCCTTCTGGCTTGTAGCGCTGAGGCAATGGCTGGAGCAAAGAGAAGGTGGACACTGAGAGGGCAGTGTCCATAGCACACTGAGTCCCTTCTCACTCTCATCTGTCCCCAAGGCAAAGAGCTACCCTAAATGCCTCCCTCAGAGCCTGGCCACCATCCTACCCATCCTTTAGGAGCCCTGGGGCAAAAAGCAATGAGGTGTCCTCTGAACATCCCAGGACCATCCACACCCTTGGGGGAGGGGGGTGGGAGTGAGGGCAGCAGGGTAGGAGGGGTGGTGGTCACCTGGCTGAGGGATGCAAGAAAGGCTGTGCAGGCTCCCGGTGCCTGAGCTCTTCCGTTCTCTCCCTCCCAGGCCTCTGGCCCCTATCCCTACCAAAGAAACACAACAAGAAAAGAGCAGGCCGCCACTGCCACCGCAGGTCCCACTCACACGGGGCAAACCAGACAAACACCAGGCAGAGTTCAATTTTTGAAACAAACAGAACCGCAGAATTGTGGAAGAAATCCCCTTCCCAAAACACGGGTCCTCCTCTCTTCTCCCTCCAGCAGCTTGTCTCAGAATTATCCTGGGCAGTTACGGAAGCCCAAGCCAGGAAAGGGTCTGTAGGCGCCCAGATGCAGATGAGGGTGGGAAAAGGGGGGGATGTCTCGGAAATGCCCAAAATGGGGTTGGAGAGGGCGGCGGGGGAAAGGAAAAGCAAAGAGGTAGACGTCCATGACGGCCTGAACACGTCCGAAGTCTCCTCGGGAGCAGCCAGCTCCCAACTTGTTTACTTATTGGCATGTTTTGCTGTCTCCAAAAAGAAAGAGTTAAAAAAAAAAATCTCGACTGGTTCTCGAGCAGTCCCTATCTGTCACCTCTCCTCAGCTAAGCATTGCCTCTGCCGCCGCTATCTGCCACCGCCTGTCAGGAAACCGAGCCGCCTCTACTTTATTCCACTTGAGCGTGGCCAAACTGTTGCTATTTAGTGGGGGGCAAAGAACCCAATTCGCACCCTCGAAACAACGAGCCGAGCCGGCAAGAGGGTGGAGGCGGGGACAGGAGCTGGGCCCTGGGTGCCCTCCGCCCGGAAGGGTCCTCTCCAGGGAGAGGTACCCACCAGCATCATCCGATCACGCCTGGCTAGGGCAGGAGTCACCTGGAACACGCAGCCCTACAGCATCTCCCGAGCCAGGGCGAGCCTGACGCGCGCCCGGCAGGCTGCGAGCAGAGGCGAGCTGGGGAGCGCAGGGCCGGTTCCCCGGCCGCGGGCGGGCAAGAGGGAGACGCGGAGCTGGGGCGTGGAGTGGAGGGGGGGGGGCGGGCTGGGCAGCGGCCGCCTGACTTACATGGAAGTGATATTCCTTGAGATGTCCGTGATGTTGATGCTGGCGTTCCCATTGCTGTTCCCTGAATCCTGCCCTTCCAGGAGGGGGAAGAGGTTCCCATCGTCGGGCCGCCGGCAATTGATCTCAGTCTTGCTGCAGACACAATTTGCAGGGCAAGCCAGCACCGAGCCCACATAGTCCAGCCAGACGCTTCCCAGCAAGAAAATCCGCCAGAAACTACACTTGGCTGGGCAAAGAGAGACATCCATCTCCGATCGCTGCTTCTAAAAAAGAGGAGGAGGAGGAGAGGAGAGGGGGGTGGGGTGGGGGGAGTGGGGAGAGCAGGGGGGGAAGGAAACAAAGACGACGAGGGAGGGGGGAAGGGGGAGGGGGGCCTCTGCCTTTGAAACGCCGAGCGATCAGATGCAAAATCCTTCAGCGTCGGAAACCATCGCGGCCGCCGCCGCCGCCGCCGCCGGGTGGGAGCCGCGGGGAGCGCCTAGTGGCGCGGTCTGCCGGGCATGGTGGCCGGCTCGGCGCTCGCCGTCTTGCGGGGTCCAGGAGCTCTGGAAATGAGGCGCGCTCTCCGACTCCGAGACTTTGCAGGGTTGCAACAACGGACGGTGGGAAGGCAAAAATAATAATAATAAAAAGGAGAAAAAATGGTGCTAAAGTCACCAAGTCCCACCTCCTGGGCAGAATTAAAACGGACACACCTGCAAAACACACTCGCACACACTCACATACACACGCGCGGAGCTGGAGGGAGGGAGAAGGAGGAAGATGCAGTCAGAGCTGCAGCAGCCGCCGCGAATGGCTCGCTACGCGCCTGCAGAAATGTACAAGTGCTCCGAGCCTTACGAAACGCACGGGTTATCGGAGCGTCTTCCTCGGCTCCCTCCCTCCCTCTTCCCCTCCCTCCTCCCCTCCCTCCTCGCGGCCTCCTCCCCCGCCCCCCGCCCGGGCTGGGAGAGGCAGGAGAGCGGAATCTCCCCCTCCCTCCCCTCCCCACACCCCTCTCTCTCCCCGCCCGTCCTCTCCCTCCTGCTTCCCCACCCACCCACCCACTCGCCGGCTTTCGGCTCTCGCCGGTACCGCCACCCGCAGCCGCGCCGCTGCCCGCCCGCTCCACGCCTAGCGGCCCCGCGACCGCTCGCCGCAGCCGAGGGGAAACCAAGACGGAAGGGAAAAAGTTGCAGTTGGGATTCCGAGGGTCGGCGCTGGGGAGGGAGAGTTGGCAAGCTGGATGCGCGACACGAAAGGCGTTCTCCCTTCCACTTTTTGGCCCTCGTGCTGCCCGGTTTTGCTGCAATCTCCTCCGCGGGAGGAAGCGAAATGAGCGCGGCCGAGGTGACCCTGGGTGCTCCCCAGCTTGGGTGAGGGGCGCAGGCTTGCGAACAGTGACGGGGGACAGGAGCGCACAGGAACCCGAGGGAGGCAGCCAGGGACGCCGGCCACAGACGTGCCTAGATCTGAATGACACTCATTTGGGTAATCGAGAGTCCCGGGAGCTGGGCTCGGCTTGGGAGGGGACTGCGGGACATGGCACGCTGAGTGCCCCCGTGCCCACTGCTCCTTCTTGGCGGTGCGTTTTGGGTTCCGCCTTGGGCAAGCAGGGAGCGGAGAAGGAGGGAAGGGGGGAAGGAGTGCCTGCAGGACTGTGCTGGAGAACCGAGGTGGCCCTGGGCGAGCGGTACAAGCCAAAGAAACGGCCGGGAAATTGAGATGCAAAGGGCATTTTTTGGCAAGCGCCGCGCCAGCACCGTCAGAGGCCGGCTTCTTGGGCTCAGCCCTCGGGTGCGCTGAGCTGGCAGCCGGGTGAGGGGGCGGGCGGGCTGCTTTCTCCGGATTTGGGGGCGCAGAACCTCCCTCTTTCCCTCCCCACAAACACCCCTTCCTGGTAGGGGCGCAAAACAGGTGCAGCCTTCGAGGCAAGTTTAGACCCGGTCCGGAGAGAAGTATATTCCCTGCTTTTAGCCTTATAGGATTTTTTTTTTAATAAAAATAAAATGTAAATATGCCAAATGGGAGCTATTTCCTGAGAAAGCCTGAGATTTTTGCGGTGGGGAAGGAGAAGAAAGGGTTAGGGGAGTCCGAGCAGGCAGACACACTACAGCATTCACACGCAGAAGAAAGCGGCGCTCTCCTCCCCAAGCTTGGGTGAGGGCAGGCGAGGAAGCAAAATACATTGAATTCAACTGCATCCAGGATCTGAAAGGATTCTCCCCCGCCCCCCTGTGGATTCCGATGCAGGTCATGCAACTTGCAGGCAAGATGGGGGAAGGGGTATTGCGGTGCCACCAGCCTGCCCCTGGTGCCACCGACCGAAGGACCCGATGTCTTGCTTGGCACTCTTTGCAGGGAGTAAACTTGGATGAAAAGGGGGGAACGAAAAGAACATGCCTATAAAAGGCAGTTTCCCCGACTTCCCGTTACATTCTGCCTTCCTTTGGCCTCAAAGAGACTTTTACACCCTGTCGCCATGATGGCCTTGTCCCCAGAATGGCATTTTGCCCTCCCGCCAGCAGGAGGGGACAGAGTGGAGACAGCCTTAGACTCTCAAACCAGTTCCTACTGGCCCCAAGCCAGTCCCTGGTGTCCTTGTCCACAGGGACTCTCCCTGACACTCCAAGTGCCTTTCTGAGTGACTTTGGGATTCTCTGGGAAGCAGGGAGACTAAGGGGTAGCCAACACACTGGAGCTTGACCTCTATCGGGACATAGCAGAGGAGGACCAGGGAGCATTTTCCAGAACACCCCAGGCAGGCAAGACAGAGAAGGGACTCCCCAAGGGGCTCTAACTGAGTTCCAGCTTGGAGCAAAACATGGTTGTATTATAAAGAGTGCCCTATCCATTTTTTTTTTTAGACAGAGATAGTTTTTAACGCTTCTTTCAAAGAAGGGTAGATGTCCATAAGTCAGGATTAAAAACAAAACTTTAGAAACCTCTTCAGAGGAGGAAAATTCAGGCTGTGAAGTAAGGGACCCTGACTGGACAAGAGGTCTTTCCTTCTTGACAGTGGGTGAGATTAAGGTAGGGTGCTAGGGTCTTGCAGGAGCTTTGAGCCTGCTCCGGAAGTAACGCATAAAATGAAAAAGACTCTTTTTTAAAAAAAAATGTAGATGTACTTCAAGTGGGGTTCTACTTATGACCCTGGACAAATGGACTTACACTCTGAGGCTCAGCTATCACATCCATGAAATGACCACAATGAACCAGATCTTTGCTCTCCTCTAACTGGTGCACCCACAGTCCCTGAAAAACTGAGATAATACTGCTGCTTAGGCCCCACCAGAGACTTTGTGAAGGGAACATTTTAAGAAGTTCCCCAGGTGATTGACAGCATGAGGGGAGGGGCTTCAGAGTCATCAGCTTGAGTCATCTCTGGTTCTACATGAGCCTTGGGTGAAGGGACATTGGAAAGGAAGAAGGATTCCATGTGGCTTCACAGTAGCATCCAATTAGAATAAAATGAGCTGAGTATCTGGGGTGCTCGCAGAAACAGAACTTTGGGGCTGGCAAGATGGCTGTCATCAATAAAGGGCTGACCACACAAAGATGAAGGCTCAGCACCCATATTTTAAAAAAAAAAATGGATTTTAAGGGTCAAGAGGATCTCTGATGAATGCTGGCCAGAGAGATTCAATGAGAGACCCTGTCTCAAAACTAAGGTAGAGAGCAATCAAGGAAAACATGAGACGTCAACTTCTGGACTCCACATGCACCCACACTCTGTGCACACACATAAACGTGTGCACACACAGAGACCTTTGAACTTTCACTGCCCGTGCACCTCCCATAGCCCACAGAAAAGCAGCCCAAGAAAGCCAGAGTCAGGCAAGGGACTAGGACAAGGTCTCTGGCATAGATGCCCGACTCTCAGTCAACAGGTACCCAGAGCATTTGGAGTATCTCATCATCTTGCTAAGAATGTCCTGGTTGCCGGGCGTTGGTGGCGCACGCCTTTAATCCCAGCACTCGGGAGGCAGAGGCAGGCGGATCTCTGTGAGTTC